AAATGTAACATTTTAGCGTAAAGCAAAAAAAGTAAAGCGAAAGTGTTAGACTTGTGAATTAAAAGTAGAGGAAAAGATCCCTAACGTATTCAATAATTCAATGACTTTTTACCCTCTATCTCTTCTTTTTTACTCCTTCTTGAGTCAAGACCTCGGAACAGCTGGCAATATCCCTTTTGTTTATCTTCTTCATTCTTGTTCATGAAGGGATCTTGTGGTCAGAGCTTCTCTTCAATGTTCTATCTCGATTCACTCTCAAGTTCTTCACATTCAAGTAAATTCCCTTCATCTTTCTTTTCTTCATCCTTTCCCCCATTTCGAGTTTCATTTCCACCTCAAAATGAAGAGCTTCCCGAGATTCCATATCAAGATATTATTCTCTAAATTCTTCCCCAATTTCACCCTATTTTAAGCTACTCTATCCAAGTTAAACAAACCGATTGATAGTGATTTTTGCACTTTTGAAGTTACCTAAAAGTACCAGCTTGCCAGCCATTCGTTTCTACTTGTTTTCGCCACTTACCACCACGTGTTCACATGGGACTCAACAAAAAGGATCTCAACTAGGATCAAACACTGTTCAATTCATTCCTTACTTTTTTGTTCACCAACTTTTTCTGAATTCATTTCTTGTGGTGTGCTTTTTTTGCATGACCAGCTGCCCGAAAATCTCTCTTCATTTGGGGTCCCGTCTCTTCATTTTTGTTTGACAAAAAGAGATGATGGATTGGCGGGAGTCTTCCCTTTTCTTCTTTTTTCTTCACCCTGCACTTTCGTTGTGGTTATTTTTTGAGGCTTTCTTTATTTTTTTCACCCATTTCCCTTTCTTTTCTCCACCTTTTATGAACCTTTTTTGTGGATGACTCGTCAAAATTCACATCTCCTGTCATCTCTTTTTCCTTTCTCTCTTTTTCTCCTCCGATTCAATCATTCTCACAACCACAACCCCCTCATTTTTTCCTCAGTCTCACTCAGAAACACATCAAAAATGAGAGTGATTTGTGGAAAATGAGCTGTTGAGACCATGGAAATGTCCTTGACTTACATTATTCTTTCATTGAGTCAAAAAAACTTGATCACATCGCATGCAACATGGCCATTTGCTTTTTTTTCTGTTCTGGCGGTCTATTATTGGGCCTTTTTTCGTAATTTTATGGCTGTTCGGAGGGAACATCGAGTTTAAAACAGAATACTGAGGTAAAAACTTGTTAAGCTGTTCCATAGAACCACTCACTAGTAGAAGATTGGCTTCAAATTGTGCTGAGCATTCACTCTCGTTTTGTGTCTTTTTCCTAGCTCTCAATGGGTTGCAATGAGTGTCACAATGTTAGGGATATCACTAGTGGAACTCTTGCTCTTTTTACTCTTTTATCCCTGCACCTCAATCAATCCTCATCGCTCACCGGGTGTCACAACCTGTGAGGGACACCAGATGACCCACACAACACAAGGAAACCACTCAACTCACTTCGCGCAGCTCTTTCTTTTCTCTATTTTAATTTATAACAAAACAACAACCTATTCTCTTTAGTTCTCTTAATTTTGCTTTTAAGGCCAACTTGAACAAACAATTGATATTGCGTGAATGTCCCTTTGATTGGTGAACGGATTGAACGGGAGTTCTTCTCTCTTTTCATCCCAGTCATCCTCAATGATCGGCTTATTTCTAGTGAGATTCTTCTGTTGCTTTCTGTTGCAATTCCTTCACTTCTTGATGAATCAAATGGAAACAAAAGGAAAAAGAGCCCAATCAACGAGTCAACATTGAGAGAGATTCTCTTGAAAAGAGAACTGCGTTCTTTCACCAATTTTCTCCCGTTGATATCGAAATTTTTCATCCCACTCTGCCCCTTTTCGATCAAAAATGTCATTTTGTGTTCCCAACTCGACACCTTATCTTTTGCACAAATAACCTTTTTCATGATTGAAAGCAGATACAATTTTTCTATTTTGTGGTCTGAATTTATTGATGAAGTTGGTTAGAACCAAGTTTTGAGGTGTCCCTAATCGGTAAGTCTTGCCACTCACAAGAGGTGCTCGACATTGTTTTTGGATAGGAAAGGAGAGATCTCCTAACCTCATCTCTTTTTGCTTCTTGAGTCAAGTCCAGGTGGAGGACAGAGATCATCAAGAAAAGAAAAAGATCTTGTTTGGTTGAGTGTTTGTCCCCAAAAGAGAAATGGGGAAGCCACACCGGTGTGCACATCTCGATCACATCCGCTCGATTTCTCTCATTGATTAAATCCTTTAAAAAGTCGTTAGGTGCATCTTATCCTATTCATCTTCACCTACTAAAGCTTTCCGAATCTTTTCAATCCTTTAAATCCTTTTTTCTCGTGAAAGCAATTTCCATATTTCGGGTGTTTACATAGTGAAGGTTGTGGGCAGGAGAATGGCTTGAGGAAAGGGTGGAAGGGAGGGGAGTGGGTGGGAGTGGAGGGGTAGTCCAAATGCTTATGTTCGTTGACTCCGAAGTGTGTCTCTTTCTCTGAAAGGGCAGAGTCCCTTCTTTCACGTTCTCCGGTGCAACAGCATATGGCCAGGGGAATGGAATCTAAATCAGCACTCTTTAAATAAAATCAAGTTAGGTACTTTGTCTTGAATTTGCTTTATAGGCATGCTTTGTTTTAGACATGCTTTGTTCCTGTCAGCCTGCTTTTTTCCTTTCAAAATTGCCCCTTTCTGCAATCGTCAGCACTTGTTTCTGCTTTTTTTTATTATTAGAACTCTTCGTACTATTAATAATCTAACTATTGGTAGATTGACGGAGTACTTTAGAGAAGCATGGAATGAGGGCAAATGAAGAAGAAAGAGATGAAGTGGTGAGAAAAGTTATAGGCGCCAGTCCGTGTGGATATCAAATTTCGTTTTCGTCCCCTTTTCTCTTTGATGGAATTGCAGAAAAGTAAGCAAAAAGAAATTGTGCCGATGAGTTAGAAGTAGTGGAAAATAAAAAGGAAAGAGGTTAAGGTTGAATGAATGAATAGTTAGCACATAAAACCTATTGACTAATTGACTTCTTTGCTGGCTGGCTTTTGTAAAGTCTGATGCAACCGATTCAAATAAACCAAAGCATTTGTTTATCTAATTTCTGAAAATAAGAATTATATTCTTTTCTATCTATAAGACATCTTTTCGAACGGCCTTCAACTTCAACTTCTTTTTGAAAAGATGGCTTGTTGTTCTTCTTGTTTTAAAAAGAATGTCGAACTTTTCTCTGTTACTTGAAGAAAACATCCTTTGATTCATTGTTCTCTTTTTTTCTTCAGTTCAAAGGGGTTTTCTTGGGCTTTCCTTTTGGAAGATGGGTGGATGGGAGAAGAGAAAGAGGAAGAAAGGGACGTTGATTTGTCTTTTCCTTTAATGGGACCCGCTACGATTTATTCGTTTTCCAATGGTTTCGATTTTTATCTTTCAGAAAAACAACTGGATTGTTTAACTGGAATGTAGTTAAGAATGTTAACAGTAATCAGTTGATTTGTTAACTGAATACCTTTATAAACCTATTTTGAACGCTAATTTTATCTATGAAATATTAACTTTTTAAAAAATTATATTTCGTCCATCATGTAGCCAAGAACGCAAGGAGTTTTTTGATCTAAAACTTGAACCGATTTGATTTTTTAGATACTGAGAAATTTGACAGCGCTGTTTTAAACCTTTTCTAGGCTAGAGCTGTTTTAACTCCATCCCGTTTAACTGAATTCCGTTTATAGGCAATCCGATTTAGGCCAATCATCAACACACCATTATTCACCAAGAAAAATGCAGTGTTTTTTCATTCATGGAGGTGCACACGAGGTGGGATGAGCGGGAGGAAAGAGGACTCTCCTCGTGAACTCCCCCAGGTGAGGGCCCCAAAAGAGGCCCCTCGGGGCCTTCCCCCTTCCCCTTTCTCCTCCTAATCGATCTCTTTGGCGCCCCTTCTCTCTTCTTTAGATGCCCTCTCCTTTTCCTCTCTTTCTCCTCTTTTCATCCCCCTCAACTCTCGCGCATTTTCTATTTCTGAGCTTTTCCATGCCGATGGGACTCCTTTTTTCCTTTCAGAGACAAACACGACATACTGACTGAGAGAATTACTCGATGCGCGGGCCTCTCCCAGTCCATTTGTGCATATGGCTTTTGCCCCTGGTTTCCCCCTTCCCTCAGCAGTTTCTTATCGCTTTTCCTCAAGGACTTACTAGATCTGAGCGTTTGTCTTCTTCCTTTTTTTCTTTTGACGATTTCGACTTTTCTGCTCGACTTCTTTTCATGTTTTAGGTCCCACCAACAGCAGAAAGAAAGGCAGGCACACACCCAATTATCTCTCACTCACACGCTCAACTTTTTCTTTTTTTGCCTTCTCTCTTCCATTTAGTTGAGAAAAAAGTTTTTGCGTTTATTGATAACTTTTGCATAGCTCCATTTTCTATCGAATAGATATGAAAGAGCATTATCTGTCTTACTGTACGGGCATTGTGAGTTTGAAGTTCTCTGAATTTGTTCCCAAATGATTCTTCTTTTTTGAGATTCCTCCAATCTGATACTCCAATCTGATATCTTTTCTTCTTCTCAATTCCTAATCCCATATCGAGTGTGAGAGTTCTCCTTTTCCCTCTCTCAATTTCCTCATAAATTTCTGATATCGTTCCCTTTTCTTATTTTCTTTTCCAATCGTTTTCTCCTTTCGATCTCGAATCTCGATTCAGATCCCTCATTTTCTTTTTCTCACCAGGTGCATATCGAAGAGTTTTTTTCTTTTTAAATGTTTCTTTTTAAAGGTTTTCCAATTAACCACGAATCAATTTCCTTCTTTTGCTCCCTTTCCAATTCCACCAATCCATTCAAAGCATTTTATTTGAACACCTGTTTCATGCATTGCCTTTCATTTATTTTTGTTTCTCTTGAAAAAACGTATCAAATTTTCGGTCATTATTTTGACTTCATAAACAGTTTATCCAATTTCTTTTTTTAGTTAGAAGCATAGAGATTGAGATTGAATTGTCGTCTTTCAATCCGAGATGAGGTGGTGTCTCTTCTCGGTGTGTGTATTGCTGCTGTCCGGCGTTATCCAAGCACAGAATCATCCACAATCACAGGTTTGTTTTAAAGATTGAAATGATTTTACTATTTAACCATCAGAAATTTCAAATTCAAAGTTCATCATTAAGAAATTGTTTCAAGTCTTTCATTTGTTCACTTTGATTCTAATCGTTTTGTGTTTCTTTCTTGCTTATTTGATGTCTTTTAGGGTGGAACTCAATATCAGAGTGATGTAAGTTTTAATAACTCCAAAAATTGATTGTTAACTTGAGCAATGAGAATCTATTTCCATGCTTCTACTCACCGCACACAATTCTCACGCAACTCTCTCAAAAAAAATAGAGAAATCTTTTGAAATGAAGAACTAATCCTTGGTTGTGGTTCTGACTGAAATGATTGATACAATAATTTTATTTTCTCACTGGTTGAAACAATGACTGATCTATTTAATAACAAATAATCTTTTGAACTAATCAATGCATTTAGTGCAACTATGTGACTCTGGTGAAATGTTTCATCGATATTTTGGATGAATGGGCATGGACTTTGTATGAATTGAGGGCAAATGTTGTGACGATCACACCTGATCAATGCACACATTTGACAAGATTGGATCGATGTGTCAAGGTGGGTGAAAAGATCTGCAAAGCTTTAAAGCCACAAAATAGTTTCTTCTCTAACTTAAGAAAGAGGTGAGCTTACTGATGAACTTCTTTGCGAAAGCTTTGAGCGAACTTTATCTTCAATAACATCTAGCTAAAGCCTAGAAACTAGCTAAAGCCGTTCAGCCATTTTTCTCCACTCCACACTTGTTTACCGTCCATGTCTTTAGTCGTCATGGAGGAATTGTCTCTATTCGATGTCACATTTTCGGGGGTCTCGATCCGATCCAAACTCGATTTGCATCCTAATGAGTCCTCCCAATCTCGGAACCCCTTTTGACCCCTCAAAGTATCCCTCTCTTTCAGTCAAAGACTCATCAGTGGCATTCACCGAGTGTGAATGTCTCTTTTCTCTTTGATGGCTTTCCATTCATTGAGACTAAATAGGAAATCAAGATTTCCATTGTGATATGGCCAACACTTAGATTTAAAGAGAAGTTGGAACTAGAGCAGATCAAAAAAATTGTGCGCCGCCGGGACTTGAACCTCCGACTTTGGGCTTACCGGGTAACTTTTCTAACCATTACAGCACAACGCACTTGGTTTCCCCTACTCCAGAGGGAGTTAAGTGAGAGCAAAACAGTTTAATGTGTTTAGATAGAAACCAGCCAAAAATCCGCCTAAGAGGCCGCCGGTGGGTTTTTGTGGTTTTGGGGCTGTCGGAGGTTGTGTTCACCATGTGGCAGTCGGTCATACCCATCTTTCGCTTAACTACGGCCCACACAATCCGGTTCGATCCCCCGTAGTGCCATTCAATTTTGACTTTTTAATTTTTAATTTTAAATGGCATAACTATATTAGATTTTAAAACTTTATAAAAAGTTTCAGTCTTTTTGGCCTAAAGATGGCTGAGAAAAAGCCCGCACAGACGACCGGACGGACAGACAATGCTCTTTTATAAATAGTAGATCAGTTTTCAAACCTCCTCAACTAGTACCAATCAGTACCCATCTTCTTTTCTTCAGCTTTTTTGAAGCTTGTCCCCAGTTGGTAGTTGAGGTTCTTTCTCTTTCTTCCAATCTTTCGTGGGGAATTTCTTATGCAAATGAGCTCGCCGTGCATATTTTGGCCGTTTTTCTAAAAGAAAGCTTTTGAAAGTCCACCAAAAACGCCCAAAGTGGGACACATTTTTAAAAAAAAAAGAAAACAATACAAAAAACATTCCCCGCAACGAAACAATATAAAAAAATCTATCTAAGGTACCAATTGATAAAATTTATCATTGCAATGCTAATCGTTTTCCCATTTCTTTTAGAAAATCGTACTCGCCCTTATTTTTCTTGGGGTCTAAAGAAGAGAAAAGTACACACACCTAGTGCGTTCAATTCAAACGCAATTGTGCCAATTTTCACCCCGACCCCTTCTCCTTTCTTTTCTTCTCTTTTCGACTAAAAGATTGGGGAAATTCTGTTTACACCGTTCTGACCATTCAGTACTACGAAATGTGAATGACCATCGAAACTTTAAAACGGCTGGTTTGATAATTTAGAAATGACTCTCAATTTCATTAAAGCAATTCCTTGATTTAGCCGAAGACTAATAGTAAGCGGCTGGGTTAAAAGACAGCTGGTAGTTGACAAAGAGAAGAGCGCAAGGTCAGTCATTGATCCCCTTCAATCGGCTTTCTTTGGACATGCATTTACTCAATCAAATGAATCTCTTCATGGATTGACTTCTAGAAAAGACTGCCTATTTTGTCGGATTATGATTACTCAACTGTAAACATTTGAAGAAAAAAATTGAGAGAGAACAAATCCCTCACCCATTACCGTTATGCAATCGTTAATTGACGGACAAGAAGAGGAGAAAGACAAGGCTTTGGTGCCCTAATTGGTGTTTATATTAAAATATTTATAAACAAAATAAGGTCGTCAATTACTTTATAAAGTTTATATTTCAGGATAACATCCCCGAAGGATCTCTTAAACAATTGGGCATTGACGAGGACAAGCACAAGCATCAATGTCGACATGATGAAGTTGTTGAGGTGAGTGCTCGAATAGTAAATCTTTACAAATGACAAATAGATGTTTTATTTGAGCTTGAGCTTACAATCATTCATAAAATTCTAAAATTTATTCAAATTTAGGCTTCCGAGACAGTGAGCGATTTGTTGACACACCGAAAGAAGGCTGGATCTTTCTTGAAGGTTGGAATTGAATATCTGAATAGGATGCTTTGTTGTAACTTACAAATTTTGGTACATTTGCGTTAAAGCCCACAAAATTTGCATTTCAAAAAAAAAAAAGAACCTCTGCATCAAAAGAACCTCCACAAAATTTGCATACAAGAACTCATCATTTGTCGAGTTAAATTTACGGAGTTAATGGTCAGAATCAAAGTGAAAAACGACAATTTATTTGAATGGATTTTCAATCAAATTGTGCTGCAATGTCCTCCAAAAGGCATGCTTTAATTTTACGTGTTTTTGTGTCCGTTTTTAATACTTAAACTTTGTGGAGATATAATGCAAAGGATAAAGGGAAATTTGTATATGCAAATTTTGTGGGGATATAATCCAAATGAAGCATAGGTTTTTTTGTGAAAATATAACGCAAAAGTACCCAGATTTTATCACTTTAACATAGAAATATTAATAAAGTTAATGGTACTTTAGTCATACTATCTCCTGACATACGCTTGCTCGGAAGAAGGTCAATCGATTCTTCGAGAGCACCGAGAATGCCTCAAATTGGTTTGTTATTTGGAAACAGTAATTTTATGGTATTTTGGTAGCAATACCCCAATTTTCAATACCCAATTTCCAGGAAGGAATCAACGATATGACGTTGAAGGCTGGCACATATTTGACCACAAAATTCCTTGACCAGCCCCATGATGAGTCGTGTGAGAGGGTAAGTTGTACCCAAATGTTTACCTGTTTACAATTGTTTACAACAATTGTTCCAATTGTTCTTTTAGATACAAGAACAATTGGACGAGTACATGCAATCGACGGGAAATCTCTGCAAGAAGAAAGCCGCCGCGAATCTCATGTGCAAGTCCCTCATTGGAATGTTCAAGGTGAGTGTTTCTAGTATAAAAATATTAACATAATACCAAAATTGTTACTTTTCATTGATTTAAAATAAACAACGATTTCAGGGAATGCACGCAGATGCATTGGAAGCCTGTGATCTCAAATGCAATCTTGCTCACATTCAAGAAGAAGCACCAAACTCGAATGATGTTGGATTTTAAAATTAATTAGAGAGCAATTCATGAAAACAAAAAAAAGAAGAGAAACAAGAGAGAACCTAAAAAAGCTTAAAAGTCTACAAAATCTGAAATTCGGTAATGAATTCGACAAATTTCCTTTCAGGTCCCAGAAACGGTTCCCGAGCAAGTTGCCACCGATTCGGATGCTCAAACGAGAAGAGGCGGCTCATCGTCAACTCTTCCAATCTCACAAATGTTCGCATTCTTGGGAGCATTCCTTTTGTTGAATCGATGAATTGAAGATCCATTCATTTATTTCAAACAAACCGGTAGATCTCGAGATTCATTTGTTTTTGATAGATCGGCTTCAATCAGTATGTAAGCTCTCCGGACTTGACGGATCTTATTAGAGTGTGTTCCCTGCGATCAATTAATTGATTAAAGTTGGACAATTGAAATTTTAATCGATTAATCGTCGATTAATGCGGATTAATGCGTTTTTAAAATGTATTAATCGCGAGGAACACACTCTAGTTCTTATCGGATCTGCAAAATAGCAAATTTTTGATGAAAATAGTTCTATAACAATAGTTCTATAATAATGTTTTTATTTTGCAGGTCAAATGCAACTTTCAAGCCTGCATTCTAGCGTCTTTTCTTAATAATTTCAATCCCATTTTCCCCTCGATTTCTCTCTGCAATACCTAATAGAAGATTCCGAAATATTAGCTGGTAGAACAGGGCATTCAGTTGGATATTCTTTTGTTTTAGCTTTATTTTCTAGTCATTTCCATTTGAAAATGCTTTAATTCCTCCAATTCCACGCACCTAATCAAGTGCAAATTTGAATTTATTCAAAAATTCCAAAAAGACTCTTCTTCAAAAAGTTTTCTCTGGGTTTTTGTGTGACTGCCGCAATTACAGCCATTTTTTTTAAAAAATAATATTCAGTTATTTTACAACAGTTATTATTATTTCAGCATTAGCGCTTTCTTTCTTCAATTTTTTGTCGAAATTTGAAATTTCTTTTGTTTAGAGATTTGTTTGTCTTTTGAAATTGTGAAATTTCGGTGTCTTTTGGCCATTTTATTTTGAGATTTTGAGATTAGCTTCGAATTCTTCAACAATACCCAATAAAGCTATGTTGTCTTTGTCTTTTCCCAGCTCTGATTTTAATTCTTGATTGAAATTCCCTGAAATCTCTCTCATTTCTGTCACTTTTGTGTGATTTTCTTCTCCATTCATTCATTTCTTTTCAAATTTCTCCCATTTCTTCTAATTTTTATGCATTTAGTGCTCACCTAAAATGTCCCTTTTCTTCTTTTTCAATGATAAGTTTTATTTTTCAAATAAAGAGTACTATTTTTGACTTTAAAAAGCAAAAAAATAGCAAGCAGTAAGAGAGAATAAGTGAATGAATTGGGGAAATATTTGTTCTTCAAAATATAGAGAAAAGATTGGAAAAGATGATGTAGAAGAGAGATTTTGTCTATGATTTGGCTGCTTCTTCTTTTGGAGCTCTCTTCTTGACACTCACATTCCTAGAAATTACTGGTTTTGCATATCGAAGTGTCGTAAAGTGAATTTCTTAAACGTTAACCAATCAATCAATCTATTCACCATCGTCATCTAATCAATCTATTCAATCTATTCACGAGTTTCCCCTACAATAAACTAATAAACTCCTCACCTTACAATCGACAATGTCTCTTTGATACAATTCTTAAATCCTCCAGCCGCATCCTTTGGTTGAACTTCTTCACCGATTTCTACCTGAAAATTTTTGCATAAGGCTTGTAAATTTGTTCTTTGACTTCGCTTACATGTCGCTTACATGTGAAATCGCTTACATGATTCTCCTCACGGTGATTCTCTTCGTTGTGTTCGTGTGAATCGTTCTCGTTGCTCATTTTCTGAAAACAAAAGAGTCTTGTTACAAAAACTAAAGCATCAGAAGAAAACAAGGAAATGTATGAACTCAAGAATTTGTGCATAATATGGAGTTCCTAACAGGAAAAGGAGGAATGTTTTCTGCATGATTGAGCCAATCTTAGGCTAGAGTCACTTTCATCCATCCATCCAGATGTGAGAAGTAAACGGAAGGCTTTTTTGATCATTTCTTAGAAAAAGTTACAGAAAAAAGTGCCCTATAACAAAGATTTCAGAAGGAAAGAAACATTTGATGTAATTCTCAAAAAAAGCAAGTCAGAAAGCTGAAATTTGAGTATCCCTGGGAAATTCTTAGTACTTCTGCTCTGCTTCGGTTCCAAACATGAGTAAAAGTTGCTAGATATTTTTAAAAATGAAAACAAATAGAAAATGATTCCAAAAATAAGAGGAGGATTCTTTTATATCCTCTTTTATATCTTTTATGTTTTTTTTTTGCCATGGATGGATTTTTTCCGGAGATTGAAACGTTAATACAAATATTACAGGTGGCAATCCATTTTTTCCAATCCATAACCCTTCCAGCTGGAAAATCTAATGAAAAACCTCAAGGATTGACCAACGGAAACAAATAATTTCATGAAAAAATGGGAAAATTGCGGCCTGAGATTGAGATTTTTCATAGCGAAACCACGATTTTTCCTAGCTTTTCTTGAATCCAGCCAAAAATAGATTAAATCAAAAAAAAAAGTTTGAAACAAAGAATCGAAAGTTTATATCGGAATTTTTCTGATTAAAGGGTTGAAGGCTACAAGTTTTAGCTTATCTTACTGAACTTAGAAATAACAAAGTATTGTGTTGTAAAAACAAACCAAGTAAAAAACAACAAAGAAGAACACTGAAACTGAAATGACTGAAAATCAGAAGGCAAATCCAGGGATTCGAAGAAGTTGATGAAGAAGTTGATGTGAATGTCGCAGTGAATGAATGTCGGAAAAGAGAAGAGTTTCCGAATGCAATGACGCACACAGAAAAGAGACTCTCCCTGAGACTCCCTCGAACTTGACCCCCATTCCCCTCAATCCCTTCCATGTCCCCTTCTCCCTTTTTGATTTTTTTGATGCGAAGTTGCAAAAAGTGGAATGGATAGAATATTCATTCCTCTCTCCCCGACAAGAGTGAAGAGATCAACTTTTTCGGGTCAAATTCGACATTCAAATTCCATGCATGAATTTATTGGCACTTATAAAAGTTTAGTTATCATAAATCAATAGTGAGACACTCTAAATTTGAGTGCCTAACTGTTTAACTGTACACCGGAATAAAATAAAGATTAAAAATAGGTTTTTAGTATGCCACTTTATCAAACCTTAAAGGTCAACAAAATCTCGAAAACAGAAATACTTATTGAATTGTCGAATTGCTTGTAACTTGATATAAAGTGACGAAAATTGAGTGGGAAATTTGTGGGAAGAAAAATAGGGAATGGAAAGGACCCATTAAGGATGAAAAAGAAGAAATCGGCAAATGGAAGAAAAGAAATCAAATATTTCTATTCGGATCCCGCTCAGCCTCGCCCTCCCCCTTCATTCTTTTCATTCGTTGCGTGTTCAGACACTTTTCTCCTCCATTTTCCGATCCATTACTTGAGAAAAGGTTTTTATTAGAACTTTCTCTTCAGAATTGGAAATTAGATGAAAGAAATTGAGAATTCATTGTTTTTCTGGCAAATAAATTTGGGTAAACACAAAGAAAGTTGTTGATTTGCAGAATCGCTTATTAAAGAAACGATTATTAAAGAAAGAATTATACTTTTGATTTAAGAAACTTTACCGATTAAGAGATTCAGGAGAATAGGAGATCCACTTGAGAAAAAAAGAGAATTCATTTATCGGATTGAGCAAATTGAGGTGAGAGCTTTTCGAGATGGAAATAAGGGAAAGTGAAGAGGGGAATTTGTAATGTTTTAGCAGAAAATTTTATTGAAAACATATCCAAATTAAAATTTGAGCTAAGAAAGCTGAAGAAACGTGGAACAACTTGCTGCTCAATGTAGAAAAAGGAATGATTTATGAATAGAAGTTGAAAGTTTCAGAGTACAATAGGTTTAGGCTTAGGCTTAAGAAGCTTCCATTTGAAAAAACATTACAATAGAATAGAGAAGGAATCTTCCAGTTTGAACTCAGTCAGTAAATGTAAATTGTTGAAATCTTTTGCCAACTCGCGTCACTCTCCGTTTACAATCCCTTCTCATTTTAGCCGCTTGTTGTCTGAAAAAAGTTCCGGGTCTCAAAAATCGTGACAAAGGAAAAAAAATCAAGAAAATAACTAATCCCCTGAATAAAAGAAACCAAACTTTTTCTTTTAAATAAATCTCGCCTTGTTATTCCTTTACTTGTGATCAATTTCATCGGGCAACAGAAATTAGCCCCGAATGGGACAATCATAAAAACGTCAACTTTTAGTTGAGAAAAAGAAAGGATTCTTATTGGTTTTTCTTGGAAAAACGGCAAAAAATATGTTACGAATACGAAAGTGAGTTGGATGAGTATTACGCACGTAGACATGTACCTATTTGACTCAGGATTAAATTACACCCAAAAATAAAAAGATATCAATTTTACTTTACTGGCGAAATTTTATTAGACTATATTATATTAGAAATTATATTAGACTTAAGTAAAAACAATTCACTTTGAAACAATGCACTTAGGTTTTGAAAGAAAATTGAAGATTTTCATGGTTGAAGTTCAAAATCAGAGACTAGAATGGATAAAGCAGGAAGATTTAGATGGGAAAAGATTGTGGTATTACTGGGTAATTCGGATGAGAAAATCTGATTTCATATAATCTGAGTCTGGGTAGACTTGATGGAAAATTTGATTTTAACAATGATTTGGAGGATTGTGAGGGATGATGGAGAAAAGGGAATGTGAGTGAGTGAAGTGAATGATCCATTCACATAAAGGACCAAGAGGGGAAAAGAAGTGGTCTCTTGGATACGGAACTCCCAGAACCCCATCAGAAACCCCATTTTCCCTCTTTTTCTTCCAAAGTTGCCAAATTTCATCCAAATGTGAGATCTTGTAAAAGTCATGTGAATATTTTGTTGTTGTGAATGGAAAAGAAGTCTAGGAAAAGGATAAAAACAAATTTTAGTTCATAAAGATTGAAATAGACTAAACATTCTTTGAAACTATGTATAATAGAAACTTTATTGAGATTGTACTGTAATAGCTAGAATTCTTGGAGCGGACTCTCTTCATCTATTAGTGCATAAATCTTTACAATTTTTTCCATGAAAAAGAATCCTTTACCAAATTTGTTGCGTTCTAAACTACTAAAAGTCTATCATTTCTCTCCAAAATTTGAGAGAAAGCTCGACTCAACTCGGTAAAAACGCATTTTTATGTAAAATTTTCAATTGCTGTTTCAAAGAAAATGGCTGAACGGATCGTTTTCGAATTTTACAGACTTATGTAATCAAATAAGCTCTATCTTTTTTACTTTGGTACCAAAATAGGATTGCATTGAAGAAAGTGTCCAAATTACACTTCGGCATCGGAGCAGTTTTGGGTGCTCTCTTTCGCGCCTCTGAAAATCCACAAAAACAACTACTTCCAAGAATTTCCCAAAAGCCATTTTTCAGGGAAACAATTAACCTTTTTCAAATGATCCAAATAGAAATTTTGTTGGTGGCGGGATTATTTTTAAAAAACGCTTGGAAAACAAATTGTAAAGACTGATGCGCTAACCTAATATTTCTTTTCATTTTGCCTAAATTTTATAGACTCTTTTGTCCAAATTCCAAATTGAGTTTCAGAGTTATCAAAACGAAGCCTTTCAACGATTTGAAGAAAGAGCCAAACGAGAAGATCAGTGGGCATTCAAATATAATGAGGCACCACACGGGAATGTGAGTTAACATAACAATTTGATCTAAAATAACACAGGTTCGATTGGTGTTTCTTCAGCCCTCTCCACAACAACATCCCTCAACAACAAATATTCCAATACTGGCTTTGATTATCCGTATCCAAAGGGACAGTCCGAAAGTTCTATCCCTCATTCATATCCTACAAATTCATCCAAAAATCCTATTCTTTCAATGATTCCTCAAAGAAAAAATTGGATCCAATTTTCCAACACAAAAACATGGGGAAACAAATGAGGTCAGTTTATTATTTGAGTTAAATTCGGAATAGTTTTTATTAAAACATTCAGACAAACAGAAGCAAACAATGGAACTAAAATATGTTCAGAGAGATCAGCAAAGGATTGCAAAGTAATGGAATCTTTAAGAATTTATAATTTGTGTACTCTTTAAGCCAAATTTCACAAGCAAAAAAGCCAAAAGCAAAAAAAATTGTCTACCTTTTATAACCAATCTCTTTTAGATCCAACACTTGGAAAACAAATATTCTTCATATTTTCACTCAACAAACGCATAGATCGACTTGTGAAAAACCAAGAAACCTCATTCATTGCTATTTCTTCTCATTTGTTTTACTTTTGCGTCATGGTTTTGCAAAAAGTTTAACTTTATCTCTCTTAAAATGCTGAATAAATATTATAAATAAAAGAAAAATGTACAAAGATGTTTACAAATTCAAAAGGTAAACTTATAAATAGAGGTCAACGGGAAATAATTGAGATCGTTTGAAAATTGAACAATAAACAAGTGAGCAGTTAATGAGATAAACTTAAAAATGGAATGCAGAAGAAAAATCTAATCCTTGCTATAGCCTCAAAGTCTCTGCTTGTAAAGTTTGAATGGACTCGAGTTGGCGACTCGTTGAGCTTGTTGTTTTATGGGTGAGTCGATTATTGGATTCTGAAAACAAATACGAGTAGATGGTTTATGAAAGAGTTTAGAAAATTGAGAAAACTTTAACAAAACCAACCTCTTCCCTAAATCCATCATCGATATATCGACTCTCACAAAGACAAGGCCTTTTATGAGTGCATGGGAAAGTGAAACCTTTATGCAATAAGTTCTCCACTTGATTTCTCGAGATCATTTCAATCTAAAGTATTCCCATAAAATTCTATCAAATCTTTTTCACCTTTATTTCTTCAGCAACCTTTGAACATCTTCTTGATACGGGTAATATTTCACTTTTGTCAATCGATTCTCTTTTGATGTTTGATGGATACTCGGGAAGTTTCAAAATTGGAACATCTTCCATTTGAAAGTCTTGTTTTGGAAGATTTTGATCATGATATGTTGCATTGAAGAGAACACCATAATGAAGGACGAAATTTTGAGAGAATAGAGATTCCGGTACATAGGAAACACCAGTTATCACCTGAAATCCATCTCAACTTTTTGATTTTATATGTGCAAACCTTTGAACTGTTGGCTTTGAATAAGTAGAGTTGATCATTTTTTGGAAGAACGGAATCAATAGCTTGAATAAGGATCTCTCTATCTTCTCGTGAAAGTTGAGATGGGATCACTTTGACCTTCACACAGCTATTCATCACTCTTGTCGTTTCTGGGTCTTCTTGTACTAAAGTTTTCTATGATCATTCCTTTTAGCTTCAAACTTACCCAATAAGCCTTTAAATGATTTCTTTTCATTGGAAAGAAAGATTTCATCAGCTCTCTTCAATAGCGAAAGTCGATAATAGGAGAATGGACATTGAAGAGGATTCAAATGGAGAGATGGATCTTCGTCAGCAGTCTCTGTTAACCTAAACACTCAAATACTCATAACCATTTCCAAATCACTCACATATATTCAAGATCTTCCATTTGCTCATCGGTGATTTGCCTCAAGTTCTTGATCTCCAATAGATGAACATGAAATCGATCAAGTATTCCAAAAGAAAGAAGTGCACGATAGTTTGCAATAAAGAAAAGACGCTAAATTTCTTGTTATCTAAACATATTCGGTTTACAAACCAAAGCATGATGTGGGGATTTTTGGAAATTCGGCCCGACTCTCCAACGAAAAAAATTGTAGAGACCCATATATCGGAGTGTCTCTGGATCAATATCAATGTAATCATAAAGACACTAAAAAATTTCATAGATAAGTAGATCTTTTTAGCAAACCATCATCGAGTATTCGAACATCATTTTACGAGCAATTTGATAGGCATTTGATGCAAAAGCGCTATTCCAACGCTCATTCGCGTAAACTGTGTGATTGAATCTAAAATGAAACTTGGTATTTATTATTTGCATAAAAATGTAGTTGTAGTCGTCATTTAGTATGACCAGAATCTTCAATGAATTAAGGTCAGTTGCAGACGCCTTTTATTTAAGCAGAACAACGACATCAATGATCATTAAAGATTAAAGATGAGATACGCCTGCTTTTGATGGGATCGAACCCTCAATGCTTGTCGCGAGAGCCAAGAATGCAAACCACTAGGCCACAAGGTCAATTGGGTTTCTATGCGAGATTCCCGACATAAAGTTGGCGCTGTAAAAACATAAAGCTTTAAAAACAATTAAATAAGGCTAAATTGAATGGATCTTGGAAAAATTCTCGAACCTGACAGGAGCTCTCGGTCTGGAAATTGTTGTGAAAAGCAAGTTGTCCATTCGAAGTTCCTTTTTGAAGTGAGAAGTTTGAGCTCTGAAGTCCAGTTGGATCTAGTTGCTAGTCCTTAAAAATATCTAGAAAAAACCTTGTTAAATGAAATTTGGGTAAGCGTTGTGGTCGGTTGATTGTCGAGTTTTGATCGAGATCTCTTTCCGATGGAAGAACACACTCATCACTGTGACTATCATCCAAACAAACCTCCAGAAAGATTGCTTCAGGTATATATTCCTAAAATCAGCTCAAAAACATTTCCAATATTTCTCTTTTACCTCATCAGATGGTGGATCTAGTCGAATCTTGATCGAAAACCTTGGATATGAAGTATGGTAGTGAAGGAGAAGAGAAAAGAGATTGGGTGAGGATCGACCACAGAGCACACATTTCTCTGGATGATCAGCTTTCATTCGTCTTACTCCTTCTTTGAATATCTGAAAGAATCATTCAATTCAAATGCTCTTTTTCATTTAATTGACCCTTTCCATCTCTTCTTCTTTTAAAAAAGGATGATTTCTTCCATGAAAGAGCACTTTGTGAAGATCTTTCACCTGGAATTTTTAAAGGGGATCTTTTAGTGCAAAAAGCGTGGATGAAAGCGGGTGAGTGGAAAGCGTTAGAGAGGGAAAGGAGCAAAGGTGGATGTTATGAAAATGATCGAAAATGGAAATGATCCAAAATTCTCATTGTGGCCAATCTTCGATCATAATCATTTCATTTGAGTGGAATATCCAACATACGTTTTTCCGGGTGCAAGCGTAGAATTCGTAAATGAGCAACGCGGGAAATCCGGGATTCAGCACAAATCGCAACCATTTTAGAATTTGTGCATCTTTTTGAAGTTCCTCCATCGATTCATACTTCACTGAAAGCTTTAATTAGAACTGTTACTTTTAAATACATACTTATTTTGGTGATATTCTCGAGTCTTCCTTCTATTCCTGGCTTGAGCATTGGATCAAAATATTCAAGGAAAGCGAGGCTGTTGTCCTGGAAAAATTAGTATAATATTTTGGTTTAATAGCAAGCCTTTTAGAATAGGAATTCTTATCTAACCTTAAACAACCATGCATGATGATCCATTCGATCAAGCTTTGATTTTAGCTCTTCCATTGGTTCAATTGCTTTTTGATCTGAAATCATTTGTTGCTTTCGTCAAATCTCACAATCAAGAGAATTGAACAGTTTCCAAATCTAAAATCAAATCAACCTTCATTTTTCTCTTTTGATCCATTTTGTGAATTCTTCTTGTTCCCATTCGATCCCATACTTGATGCAACAGAAGCATTTCTTTTCAATGGAGGTGGAGAGCTTGTCTGAAACCTCTTTTTTAACAAATATTAATTAATAACATTTACCTCAGGAATTTCCCTCTTCAAAGATCTTCGTGGTTCTTCAGTCTGTTTCATTGGTGTTGCAGGTTTCATTGTGATGATCGGACAACTTGGAACACATCCCTTTGACGTGAGAGATTTCTCTCTGATCGGTTCCTAAAAGATTGAAGAATGAAATCTCTGTTCTCTCATTGATTATTCACTTCTTCTTCTCGATCATCTCCGAATTCTGTGTCCAAATCAATAAAATTCACAATCAAATGAGCGCTTTGCTTGGATTTCTTCTGAAATTCTTTCTCTTTGTCTCCTTGCAATCCCAACCTGTGCAGATTCTTTAATTGCCTTGTACAAATGTGGATTTCTTTCCACTTCAACCATTAAATCAGCCGCTTCTGTTATTTCGGAGAGATGTTTTCGAGGAAGAAATTTTTTCACTGTTTCCTGTTCGATCAAGCGTACTTCATGAGTCTTCAGCTCAATCAGCTCTCGATTTGCCTAAATTTAATCATAAAGATCAATTCCTCAAGCTCACTTCATAAACAGCTTGAGCTCCATAGTAGAATCTTCCAGTGCTTTTCTCATCAACCTAGAATTTCTCTTACAATCCATCAACTTTCTTACAATTCATCAAAACCTTAAAAATCAAAGCAGCTAGCGAGAGTTGATGTTTCTCAAAATCGATTGCTTCATTTCCGGATCTCAAGAGAATTGTGACACCATCTTTTTCTCGGAAAACAATATTATTCTCGATTGGGGCAATGCCGTCAATTGGAATCTGCATAATTTATTGCACAAAGTTTTCTTTTCTTAAAAAAAACCGGTTCACTCATTGTGCCCATCGGAAAAGTCGCCAATGAAAGGAAACATTGAACTTCAAGATTTCTGAACGCTTGGCTAATTTTTATTTTGACTATGCCTGTGTTTTGATTCCTTTTATATTAATACCAACTCATTATGAGGGGCTGGCACGTGTACATGTCTCAATTTCACACAAATATCCCGCAATTCGAGATCGCTCATCGGCTCGCTTTTAGGCAAGATTTTTGTAGCCTGGAAATTTTACATTACAGATTACAGAACATCAAAAAACCATTAGTTTCCTCATATAGCCTGAGCATCTTCTCATTGGCATTTCGTCGCCATTTTTCAAAATTTGAGCCAAAGTTCCAATTGAAAAGTTGAAAGGAGTTGAGGTTCTGCAGGCAGTCTGAAAAGATTATGTCGATGAAAGATTGATTCAAACTATTGATCAGAAGGGCTTTCTGTAAACCTCACGCACCAATTTCTTCAGCTCATCTAAACATTGCCGATCACCGAGAAGATAACAGATATCATTGAGACTTTCACGTCGTTCAAATGACGACTTTTGTTTCTGAAAGTTTCTATGAATAGGATAGCATAATGACTCATTCTTACTCGAATTGATTTTGGGCTTTTTAATAGTTTTGGTGGCAGCTCTTGTGTAAAATCATAATCGAGTGCTCGATCATCCAATTGGTTTTTGCTTCTGAAAAGGATATGATCAGCCAACCAAACCATCTTACATACAAAAAAGCCACGTGATTTCTGAGGAGAAATGGACGACGAATGCATTTGTACAAAGTGAAAGCAGCCTGAAATCATCTCATTTACTAAAATTTCTAATGGTCTTACTTGAAAAGATGAAGCGGCAGCTTGTGCGGCTTGTTCAGCTCTTCTTCTAACTGTCAATGGGGGTGATCCACCTCTTTTTGGAATTCTTACTCTCAGGCCATTGCAACTGTAAATGTTTGTATTGCAGTATTAGTTGATCTTCACCTTTTCGATTTCCGTAATTCATAACTTTTCACCCATGTTTGTGATGGATCTTCTTTTTCACATGAGATCTCTCGAGAGAGATTTAGTGATGCGCTTGACCTGAAGATATTGCTAGATTATTTTAAACAAGCCGACAGACGACAGACGTACAGACGGAAGGAGGGACACACACGGACAGACGCTCTTTTATATGTATATAGTAGATTAGCTAATTGCAAGATCTCTGATATATGTTGTGTACTCAAACAACCATTTGAATCAAGCGAACAACCTGATGGTTTGTGTCCGGGAAGATGTCCTTGAAGGCTCACTCTGTTCATTATCGGGAGGTGAAGAAACAATGGAACTTTCTTTTGAAGATGAGGAAGATGATATGTGAATTGATCCAATTTGTGATGATCGGAGAGATCTTCTTCTATTCCCATTTCTCTCATCTTCTTCCTCTTTTTCCTTTAAACGATTTGAAGGGCCAGGTGAATAATCAGAGGAAGACTCGTTTTCTGAAAGATTTCTTTTTAATTCTGTGATTTGAATGACATTCCTGTAAGGTATTGGCAAATATTATTTAAGTAACCTGAAGATGATCCTTGATATCCCTCAAATCCTCCCAAATAACATGTTCCATCTCTTCTTGGTCTCGAACCCATATACCTATTCAAAGATTTAAATTTTAATTCCAGGTTTTAATAATTTGAATAATTTGAATAATTAATAAAACTATCTACCTTGACTAATCCCCAGAGAAGAGAGAAAATTCAAATCTAACCACAAACTACGAAAAGAGGTGTTGTTTAAAGAACCTGTCCAGGGTTTAATGACGAAAAGAGTTCTGATTTTGATCTGTGTGAAAACTTTGAACTCAATTTAAACGTAAATTGTTTTAAACTTCTCAAAAAAAAGAAATTTTTAGTATATTTTCAACAGGCTTTTGAAGTAATTTGTTATTCGATCAATTTCCACCCAATTAGATTCATTTGAGTCATAATTATAACTTGATAATGTTGCTTGATCCACATATCTGCAGTGTCATTAGGAAGGGTCTGTAGCTTTATTAAAAAAAATTGAAGACAAAGAAGACAAATTGAAAACAAGGAAGAGACAAAAAATGGTTCTGATTCGAAGCAATTCAAAGTCGATAAGACAATTCAACGAAAGCAACCACCATTTAGAAGAATTCTCTTCTTGAAAGTGGTCCAAATTACGAATACAGACAATTATCTGAAGTTTTTTAGATTAGACTCTTATTAAGCCTAAGAGGGTTGCAAAACCAAAACCAAAACCAAAAATAAACATAAATGAAATGCGGGTTTACATTCTTTGCAATTTGCACCAAAATTTACCTGTGAGCTAGGTAGGAAAACGATTTCGTTTCTCTTAGTAGTGCACCCCGGCGAGCCGAGTTGATGACCATTTTACGGTTTCCAAGCTTTTGCGAAGCACACCAAACCCCCTAGATCTCATCGTCAGCTACATTTTCCGACCCCACATCGATAGGTTCTGATAAGCGGTTCTCGAGATTTCGAGCAATTTAGGCGACGCTCAGGGTGCACTACTATTAGAGAAAATATGGTATTCATTTTTTTTGCTACAAACCTGTCTCCAAGTTTCAAGATCGATCCAAAAATCATATTGTTTGTATCTTCCATTTAATGGCAGTATATTGCCCTTTTTATTAATTGCTTTTAGAATAGTTCAAAGTGAAATAGAATCTTACTCTATTTTGTTCTTTTAGTGATTTACAGATGGAAAGTCAGTCAACAAAATCTAATTTCTGCTCATCTTTTGTATTCAACTCACGTCTAAGTATCCTTTATGGACAGTTGATTGATTTTAAAAGTAGTACTATTTATTACACGGTGCATTTACTGTAAGCCAGGAAAATAATCAACACATCGTCCTTCCACAGTGTTTCCTTTGTTCACTTTGGCACAAAATTGCCTCAATCCACAGAGGTTTTTCCTTGTTACAGTCAAATCGCAAGTGTTTGCCTGGAATTGATTAAAGCTCTGGGTTAGAACCAGATGCAACTCACTTCATTCGGTAATTGCGTACATTTCCCTTGTGTGGGACACCAATTCTCCGAGCAAACCCATACCGGAGCACAGTACCATCCCTCAGCACAACGGGGATACCAAATATGACATTGGAGCTCTCTTGGGACTGGCTAAAATGGTCACAAAGTAAAGATGGGTAAAGAGAAAAGAGGAACCGTCTTTTGTACCCATTTTCCAATGCAACCTCAGCTTTTGCCCTTATCGATCCCAAGAGAACAAATAAACAGAAAAATGAATGGATTATCGTTGGCATTTCTCTCATCTATCAATTTTCCCATATTCCCGTGTCTCTTTTTCCCATTCGATCCACTTGATCCGAGAGAAATTCCCGTCTCTTTTTTCTTTTTCTGCCGATCCACTTGTGTGATCATATGTTTCTCTCATTTTTTGAGATTCAATTTCGCATGTTGACTAAAATGATCAATACTATTTGTAAAATGATCAAACATTTATCGAAAAAAGTAGTTTCTTTTAAGTTACTCTTCGCAATGCTTGCTGCAATGTAGCAAAATCCATTACAAACCATCCTGCGCGCCTTTTGATACTTTCTCGGATCTGAATTCTTCTATCATCGTACAATGAAGAGATTTTCGCTTGAGACTAATGCAAAAATACAAGTAAGAACGCGTCGACTAACAATATTTCCTCCAAAACCAATAAAGGCATCAGCAGGCGGTGATGCTTCGAGATCATTTGCTCCATCGCCGATCATCACGAGATTTTTGTAGCCTTTTGTTCTTTTTAACAGCTCCATCACTGCCGCTTTACCTGTCTAAGAAAAAATTGGCAAAAAATCTCATCACTGACTTTTCCCAATCCATTTGATAGCTTCTCATCGGTGAAATGCACATATTTGCCAGTATTATCAAAGTGTATTGTGTTGCAGAAAATGTGACTTCTAAAATAAAGCTAATGCTTTAAAGTGAAGCCTTTCAAACTTTTCAATTCCAACTAGATCCGCAGTCAAACAGGCCAGGTCATAAAACCCCCCTGTCACCAAATATACATCAACTCTTCGCTTCTGCAACGCGGCAATCAATTCAACAGCACCATGGGTAATCTTTCTGTTTTGTAATAATCACTTTATGTTAGAAAACCTTGATTTCTCGTTTAAGAAAAGTCTCATACTGTCTTTTAGTCGGATTGATTGTGCTCATCGTTCTTGAGATTGACTCTCTAAAAACAGAAATAAAAAGATACACGGATGGATTCACTTGAATGGGACTGATCCATTCATTCCTGCTTTAGTCAAAGCTTCAACTCGATCGAAAATATTGAGATATCTGGCTAGTTCATCTTGAGACTCGTCCTAAAAGGTTTACAAAGAAAATGTGATCAATCAACAACAAAACTCTTCACCATGCACAACGTGGAATCCATATCGAAACACGCAGCATCCACATTTTTCCAAATTTCTTTTATATTCGCTTCAGATGTTTTCGAAAAGATTGATTTTATGTGTATAAAAGTAAGCAAATAACTCAAAAGCATAGCACAATTTGAGTAAATGAACATCTCTTTTTGGTTTTCATTTTTTGACCTTGAAAAAGGTATTAGCAAAATCAATGTTAATTGATGATTTCAGGTGCAAGTTCTGTGAGTTTTTATGCGTTTATATCGTTTTTTGTTTTGTTTTAAAGTTTCACAAAACTTTTATTACTATTCAACAGTTTGGTTTTGCAAAATTATGAAATGTTTTCTTAAGAAAAGCCAAAGAAATTTTGAAAACCCTGTGGCACTAATGCTCAACGGGTGAATAAGACTGAAAAAGATTGGATTATTGAATAAAAAAAAGGAAAAAAGATAGAAATGGAATGATAGAAATGAGAATGTAACTAAGAAATAAGGATAAAAGAAACACTGGATATTTCATTCATCAAAATGCACACTTCCCAGCAGGTCAGCACGACAGAAAAATCTTTCTTTGTGATAAAAGATCTCTCAATTTGAATAGATAGGGGTAAAGACTATCAAAATAAGTCACAAACAATGAAGAAAAAAAGATTTTGATGGATTTATGTGTAAAGTTCAATCTTGAAAAGATGCTTCAAGAAAATCTATTGATGATGAGGTATGAGAAGTGTTATAAAGCTGCGAGAAATGCTTTTGCGTGTAAGAAAAGAGCAATAAAGAAAATAACCAAGCAGTGAAAAGTTACGAGCAATTAAAATATCAAATATTAATAACAAAAAAGATAAGAGAAATTCCTGAGACCATCCATGTCTCTGGAGGACAGAGGGAGCCGTGAGTGGCGCATCCAATTCAACTCTCCGATTGAGGAGAGCACATTGAATCTCTGGGCAAACAAAGGGTTTCGATTTTGTATCATCAAGTTTTTGATCTTAAAACATCTAAATTTTCCTTTGAGATTCAACGTTTGGACGAGTTATTGAACCAGCAATATGCATGTGAAATGCGAGTGAACACAAATCAATAACACAAAAGAGAAGTCACGATCCTTGGCATATTGCAAGCATTTGATTTTTGGCCCGCTTAGATTGAGAGATTTTTGTTTTGGTTGAGTGAAATTGCGTAGCCAATTATGGATGAACAGGATGTCATCCAAAAATGAGCAAAGAATACGCAAACAATATGCCAGAAAAGGAACGAGGACCAAATATAAGAGAAAAGAAGGGCAAAGATTAGAGCTGATTGAGGTAGCTTCGGGCAATTCACGTTCAATAGTAAAATTGTGGGAATTGATTTTTGACATTATGGTAGTGATTTGAATAGCTCAAAAGTTGCCACCAAAATAAAAGAAATCGATTTTCATATACCGGAATCACGAGCAGGGCACGAGTCTATCGAACAGCCACTCACTTGTGTGCATTTACAAAGTGGAGAGGGAAAGTGGATTGGGAAAGTCAACCAACATTAAGTAATGGAAAAGAGCTCTGAGGCTTGCAACTAAATGCCTAAATGGCTTGCCAACAGTCCAAATTAAAAAGAGGGAGCAGAAGAATGAGGGAACAAGCGCACAAAGAAGACCCATTAGACGAAAAACAACAAACTATGAAAAGGAAAGTTGTACTACAGGGTGCAAATCAATTGCCATTTTGATAACATTTGAACTGATATGTGAAAGAAGAAAATCGAGGGGAATACTGTCTATCAATCAATAGAAAAAAAGGAAAAGAAAAGGCAACAACCGGTAGATGGCTCGAGAAAGGGCCGATCGACTGAGGTTTCGAAGGGAAAATCGATTGGGGAGATCAACAGAAATGAGGAGATTCATTGAATGAATCGAAATTGGATTCCTCTCGACTTCCGTTAAAGGCAAATGGGTGAAGACGAAGTACAAGATGGTACATCAGATCACGAGCACGCTGAAATTCGATCATTGAGTAAGTGGTGAAGGAAAAGAAATAACAAACTATGGAAAAAAACTAAGGAAAAATTGAATAAGTTGTGAAGATTTGTACTAAATTGGACATGAAATGGCTCTAGTTTCTACCTCTTGATTTTGCCGTTCAATCATGCCGATCTTTTCTGAGCCATAATCGAAAATAGTCGGTTGGGGGAGATTCATTGCATCGCTTCCCTCACATCCCGGAATAGTAATTGGTGGGGAACCGTTTCGCGATGATTCCGACCGAATTCTTGACCAAACTGTGCTCAGTTCTGGAAAATACACGTTTGCATTCCATTTGTGTTTCATTCAGATTAGTTTATTCGATTTTTACTCACCACTTGGATGCACTTTCTGATTTCCCGAGCGTCGATGTCGTCCAGTTGGAATCAACTCTTCGTAGTTTGAGAAGGGGATTTCCCTGGTGCCTAGAATGGATTTTAAAATCGAAACTTTGTATTTCTCCGTTTCTTGAAAACAAGAACTCACTCGGTGCTTCCATTCTATCTTCATCGTCTTCATCATCATCTTCTCGTTGTTGAATAGATTGATTCTCTTGTTCAAGCATCCAATCCACATCTTCATCCAAACAGAACACCCCACCAACTAGAAATTTCTCCATAAATTCCTCCTCTTGAAATTTATCTTTGCTCACATAAACCAATGCATTAGAAGCGATCCATCACATAAACTAACCATCAATTTCTCGAAAATCGATATCTCTTTGATGAATATGAGTTTCGGTGATCATTTTCTCTTCTCCAATCATCGATTTCTCTTCTTGATCTGAATCGTATCCTCGATCCGAATGAGTGTCCATACTGAAATTTATTGATGTTGAGGAAAAATGAAAGAAATGCTTAGAAATGATGAAATCACAGAGTGTCTAAGCCGTTAATTCTGATTTCCGAAATGGGAAAGTGAATTTATATGGACCGGAGTGATGAGGGAAAAGAAAGAAAAAGGGGATTGAAGCACAGATCTCTGTGAACAAAAATAAGTCTGAATGGGATATGAAGTTGATCCGATTGATTGAAATTGAAAGCTATTGATGGAGGGAAACACATATGACGGAGACTTTCTCAATAAAGAAAAGAGAGAGATTTGTGTGAATGATGGGACTCTCCTCTATTCAAAAAGAGTGGGACTGCATTCGACAGCAATTTCAATGATTTCCCGTCCAAACTTCCGCCCCAAACTTACAACTTTTTAGAAATCTATTTTACAGATTTGAACTGAAAGATTGCAAAACTAACGAAATTTTCTCACTGAATCAGCCAAAATAAGCACTTTGACCCTTGGCCTTTTTTTTCTTTTATTGATAACTGGGTTTTTCTAGCAAATTTCCATTTGGAAACTTCTACTTTTTGCCTGAGAAATGAGAAGCTGCTTATCTGCAAAATGGAGAAGTTTTTTCAAGAAGTAAACCCGATTTTTTGCGGGGGAGATTGGAGAGAGAACGGAGAGAATTGGAAATAGTAGGAAATAGTTGAATATTTCGAAATCACAGTCAAATTCCTGGTCTATTGTTAGAAAAAACAACGAAAAATAGTTAGATGGGTTTATTATATTATTTTTATCACAAACAGCTGGCTAATTTCAGAGATTTTCAGTTTAGACTACTGAGGAAACAAAATTTCCCCTGTTTATTGCAAGATCTGAATTCAATTCTGAATTCAATGCACGACTGTTCAAAGATTAGTTGCCGTTGTAAAGCAAAAATTGTTTAATTTTGATGCGAAAGGTGTACCTACTCGAATCCGAATTTCCTGCTTTAAATCTCCAGAAATAGAGGATTTGAAGCAAAAATTTTCTCGAATTCAACTTTGAGATTTCTTTCTCTCAAAACCAAGTAGAATAATCTCTAGAAAAAAGAAAATGTTAATCAATAAGCCGATTTTTCGACTTTGATTCCCATTTGTAAGGATCGAAGATGCGACTTATAGCCACAATTTAATCCGAGATTGCTTTTTGAGGGAAACGATTTGTGAAAATTGCAATGTAAAAGTGTCAACTCACGTTCTATTGAGAGCTTCAGACGAATTGTGATGAACAGTATCCTCTCTTCCTCCTCCTCCTTCTTCCTCTCCTCCTTCTTCTTTTTCTTCACTTTGTCTCACCTCAATATCTCGAATTTCTTCGTCGTTTTGTGCCTATAAAAGCAGATTTTCTGAGTTGAATACACAGCTTTTGTCTGTCATTTATTCATTTATTTAGGTGTGTAAACAGAATGGAATCACATCGAAAAGTGACACCCATTCAGAGGAAAAGAATAGAACTTGGCCAAGACAAATAAAAGACAAAAAGTTTACGGTAACCAAGAAAAGTCAAATGAAGTTTTTAGCCTCAAAAGCTAATTCGTGCAAAATTTTACATTTCGCTTTCATTTCGCTTCACTCGTTTCCACAAAATGAAAGTCTTTTCTTGAGATGAGGTCTCAATCTAACGAAAGATATGGGGAAAAAGAGGGGAGAATAATTAGAATTCCATTGTCTCATTTGTCGCCCCTCATCTCAAAAATGCAAAATGGGGTACTTCCTTGTCATTTTTGAATAAAAGATGTCTTCAAAATGTCTCCACAAAAAAGATTGGACAGAAATTTTGCATAATCATGCTTTTTAGTACCAGGTCACTTCAAAAAACTAAATAATTGGGGCGAAACATAAAGTTTTCAAAAGTCGAAAGATTCCCGAGAAAACAAATTTCTATAGGTGGGTTGAATCTTGTGAAAAGTGAGGGTCGAAAATTAAAAACTGTGTCATATGTATTGGGAACGTTCGGAAAGAGGAAAAAAAAGAGGTGCGATCAGATACCAAGAAAAAGGGAAAAGAAGAAGGTCTGTCTCTCAAAAAGGAACAAGGGAAGAACGGAAAGTAAAAGACGGAAAGTTCGACGAAACCGGAAATTTACAAAAATTGAAAATTTATGATCACTTAGCCATTTTTTGATTTACCGGATGTCTTTCCTTTTCCGGAAACTATTCTTCATGCTACAAATGTTTGCTTGTAATTAGAGTAGGCTTCTGTCAGTTAAACAAATTAAAGTCGACTTTCTCTATAACGGAATGAGAAGGGACCAAAAAATCTTTTCGTTATATCGACGTTTTATATAGCTTAGCGTCGGCCAGGACCAAAATTCCATTCCGTTATATAGAGTTTTCCACTATATAGAGTTTCGTTATAGGAAGGTCGACTATAATTAGTTAAAAATTTGCATTTAAAAATTAACCAATTAACCAAGAATTAACTAGAAAAAACGTGGGTCAAAGGACCGATTAATGGATTTGTGAGCAGATGACTGAATATTCTAAGTTTTCTATTGTGGGCTAATAAATGTGGCTTCCCTATCTCTCTATATTTGGTTCCCTATCTCGCTAACTTTGGTTCCCTATCTCTCTAAATTTGGTTCCTTTCTTTTATTCGTTGATTTTTACTTAGTATCGTTCATTTTATTTTAAATAACAAATAACAACATTTAATTTAGCGGGGGATTTAATTACAAGATCTATTGTATTGGAGTTGTATTAGAATTGTATTAGAGTTGTATTGGAATTGTAATCTATTTGAAAGCAAAGCATTGAAAGTATTTATGTTTAAGAAACAAAGTAGAGAAAATCCAAGTGGAAAGGCAATTCATTGGGGTAATTTAGGTTCTCTGCGGAAAAAAGCAAGTAAAAAGATGGAGATGTCAGTCACGCAGTGGTCTCGAGATTTCACTTGAATTGGATGGGTTTCAATGAGAGAAGAACTTTGAAAGAAAGAAACTTGAAACAATTCTTTTAAAAAACTATCCAAGTTTACGCTCTAGCCTCTAGCCTGAAACCCAAAGAGTATTTCAAACATTTCATTTTAAATTCACAATAAACTCAGCTTTCGAAGTGGCAACTTTATTTATGAAAGCAATTTGTATGTGCTCGCTTTTCATCGCAACTCGATTTCTCGTGACTGACAAGCGGGGAGAAAGCTCAGATTTGGAGTGTAATTGCACTTCTTCACTTTTTCTTCTTTTCCTTCCGAAGATTGAGACTCCAATTTCTTTTCTTTTCTCTTTTCCTTTTCTTTCATTTCATGCATGATCAGTGCCTTCATCCCTTCATATTCTTACCACACTTTCCCTCTATATCCCTACACCGAAATTGTATGTATACACTAATTGCTTTGCCCCTTTTCTTTTCAACTCACTCTTCAGATCTTTGACTCTACCGATTACCCTCCAACGCACGGGTTTAACCAGAGACTTTTACGATTCTATTTTGAGCGATAAATCACGAAATCGTAGATTGGATTTGCTACTGAGAAGGCATCAGCAAAAGTTTTGAGAAATTCTAGGAAAAATATCAAGTTTAGAGCCAAAACAAAGTGATTTATTAATGATTTTACTTTATATATCTATCTTAATTGAATAGCTAGAAAATAAAACCTACCGTGATCTCAATATGAAGAAGCTCAGTTTTTCTTCTTTCCATCAACGATTTATGCTCGTTTATCGGGTTCGTCGAAACGATTTCCCAACCCGTATTCCTGAAAGAAAAAACTTTAAGATGCATTTCTCCAATTTCTACTCTCAAAACTAAAAGCAAATTGAGTGTGAAATTCAAATTTGCTCAAAGATTGGTTCCCCTTTCTTCCCTTACCCAGGTGTTTACCCTGCCAAGTCGCAAAGTTTGCCCTAAAGATCAGCGAATCAAAAATTTACATCTGGCCATCGGTCCATATATTGGGGATCTCCCGAAAGGCATCTCTGAGTGCACAAATAAGCGATAAAGACACGGGATGGATTGGGGGTCCAGCTGTGACTTTTCCCTTTGGACATCATTGGGAAAGAGGGACCTGTATCCATTGGAAAGATCGCTCACACGAACACCTGCCTTACCCTTCCCCCTCAAGGCAATAACCTCTCCTCTTTTTTTTGGAGTGAGTATTGCCTTCTCTTCTTCTTCTCTTATTTGTTCTAAAGGACTGTTGCGCTCTCTTCCATCCACAATCTCCGTTGATTGTTTCTCTCTTCTCCAAAAATGAACACATGAACAACCACTAATTAGTCTAATTGTGCTAGTAGTTTTTAAAATACTAGAATTGAACACTGGATGTTCATCTAAAAGTTGAAACCTATCAAACACAATGGCTTAAACAAGCTTGAAGGCTTGAAGGCTTAAACAATGGCTTGAAGCTTCGGATAAATGAAAATAGATAAAGCAAAAGATCTTCACTAAAAGAAGAATAGTCGACCTTGTTCAATCGGCCATAATATTTAGTTTGATTGTTTGTGAATGAATGAGGGGATGGATCTCATGAAATATGCTAATTCCCGGAGAGAGCCGTGATGTGTGCCGATTCTCGCCCAGAGAAGGCTCCAAACAGGTGAGCTAATATTTTGATGCGAGTCCATCGATGGATGAATTGAAGAGAGACTAGATTTTCCCCTTAATTCCCGTTTCTTTTGGATGCGTTGTGAACGTTCACTGCTGTGTCCTCTCCTCCCTTCCCCACTCTTCATTCTTTTTGCCTCTTTTGTCTGACAGTTCAACAACTTTTTCTCGGCACTTTTTTTGTGGATCGCCGAGCGACGCGCGTCTCAACCAATAGACCGATGTGAGGGGAACGCTGGTGTAGGTGAACTCAAGCACCATCCAAAAAATCTGAAGGGCTCTACCGAGTCAGAAAGCGTCTTAAGATTAGGTCTAGTTGATTTTACAATCCAAATAATGCCAACCTCTGGGCCCCAGATAGCTGCAGTTCAACCTTGTTCATCCCTTCTTGAGCAGCTTCCGATGACGGTGTTGCGTCGACCCAGCTCAGAGCCATTCTAATAGTATCGGCTGAAAAGTATTTGATTTTGCTGACCTTGTTAAGAAATTAGAAAACATAAATATGAATTCAAACAGATATTGACCAGAGAACAAAGGAAATTCAATCTGTTGAAAGATTTATACCGAGAATAGGGAAAGGACAAAGTGGAAATTTGAGCGATGCACAAAAATGATTTGAAGAAGACGAAGCTTTTAGAGAAGAAAGCTGATAAATAACAAACAGATTTTGATGAAAAAGCGGAAAAGCAGGCAAGGATTGGAAGGGGTCTCCCGTCCAGTCGGGGGTGTTGATTTCAACCATGCCCTGTCCAGTCCCCCCGTCTCCCCGAACAGCACACATACGCTCTTTCGATTCGCCGATGAAAGCTTCATTGGTACCCGGTCTATCATCCACATCTTTAAAATTGAAATCTCAAGAGTTAGTGATGATCAAAACAAAATTATTCACGATAAAACACGGAGAAGCAATTTAGACTAGATTGTTGCAAATCGACCTTGCAATATTCGCGGAAATTGGTAAAGAAAATTAGGGAGTATTCATTTCCTGTCTAAACTTGAGAGCTTGAAGAAAATAAAATGAGTAATTCTATACAAGTGAAGGACTTGCTTTGATGTCGAAAATGGATGGATGAGCGAGTGTTTTCGTGTGTTTGTGTGGTGTGTGGAATGGTCGCCGTGGTGGTCGTGGTGGACAGGGAAGGGGAAGAAGAGGAGATGAAGAGGAAGAGAGACTAGAAGGGGTACCTGGCGAGGAAGAACAAGAAGAAATAAAAGAGAAAGACTAGGGGATCCATTTCATTGTTTGCCGTGTGAAACCCCCTGGTCGGGTCCTAGCCGAGGAAGAGAGAAGGGGAGACCGTGTTGAGAAGACTCCTCCCCACCACCCATCGCTCTCTGTTCATTCTATCAAGTTGACTCGTCGTTCACTCATTCACTCGACAACAACACGCAAAGGAAAGTACATCCCTATAACCATCGAAAATTCAAAAAAGCTAGCTTTGAAAGCTTTGAAATAAAGCTTTCAAAGCTAGCTTTTTCGAATTCATTTTCTTTAAATGCTCCGTGTTAAATTGCTTTAAATGCTCTTCCCTCTGTTTGGATTTTAGCTTTAAATGGTAATCCATTAATTCTTATGTACTTGAATAATTTCTTTTAAAAGTTAGGTAGGAGAGGGGTAAGAAACTTTGAGCTCATCTTGTTCAAAAAAAGAAGTCCCATTCAACAACGGGAACAAAGAAGCAAAGAACAAAGCAAACAAAGCAAAACATTGATTCTTTGAAACAAACTTACAATTAGAATATGAAGTTGTCATGGGATATAAGTTAAGTAAATAAAAAAATGAGTGAAAATGAAAATGTTTCAATCTAGTTGTGCTATGAATGGAGAAAAGGATGATGAGGGAAAGATAGGGGAGGGGAGGCTCCGATTGGACGACTCCCCTCCTCCCTCCCCTCTCTCTGTCACATACTGGGAATAAAGTGAGAGTGAGTCTCTTCTTCACACGTAATTATGCAAATGCTCAAGTTGAAAGGAATCCTCAGGCTCAGATTCTCCCTCCAATAGGTAAGACTTCAAGTTGAGGATTCTCTGTGAGAAATCTTCAAGTGAAGCCCTCTTCTGTATCGACAACAATGAGGAAGTGAATTGTCCGGTAGGCGAGAAAAGAAGAAAAGAGCTCAATGACACAGTCCTTCTCTTTTTGTATTCGAGAAATTTTTGTGAGAAGAAATGCTAAGTATCAACCACTCAAAAACATCTTAGACCTATTAAAATCAGATAGGAAAATAAAGCAGCAATAGTTTGTTTTTGCCAAAGTTCTTTTCCAAGTTATTGAAAAATTAAAAAAAGATGGCTGATTTGAAAATTTTGAACATGAATGGCCAATCTGGCGATGGGAAGAGTGTGCCCCTCTTGAGACATTCCCTATACAAGGAGCTTCTATTGGGATTGAGAATGGGAAAAGAGAAAAAGGGACAATGAACATAAACTATTCCCATCTCTTTTCAATTTATGGAAACTAACTCTCACAAAGCATAAACATATGGATGAGCTGTGTCTTTTTTTGCTTCTTTTTGCTCAATCAAACATACGATTTGTGTCCGACAAATTGAATTGAATGAAATTTTCATAAAAACCATAAGACAAAGTTTTCAGTTGAAAATTTCAAGAATTGTATCAGAACTAAAGGTATCAGAACTACTATTGAGAGTGAGTGGTGTTGAGGTTTTCTCTTTAGAAATGAGTGAATGAAAGTATTGAAGGCAAAAGAAAACCAGAAGGGGGGCTTTAGAAGGGGTTTTCAGGCCCGATGAATTCACGGGGTGGGTGAGGGGAGGGGAGGGGGATGCGCTGTGCATGGATGGAGCTCTCCTTTCTCTTCTCCCAGAGGGGGTCCAGTTTGTCACCGACCCCTCCCCGAAACACAAACACTGCAAGCAACGAGCCCCCTCGATTCCCCTCTTCTTCCACAACTTCTCCTCAACCATCCCGGCCACCGGTCTTCCCTCTACTCCGATCAACATGCTTTCCAAAAAGAACTATCTGTAAAACGTTTCAAGCAACAATTTTCAATGAAAGAAATCTGAGATTCAGATCAACCATCACCATTTTTAAAGATCAAGGGAAAACAATAAAACGGGCGAACTGGGGGAACCGTTCGCAGATCGGAGCGATTCGGAGAAAAGAAAGAAACGGGAAGGGCATAAAAATTGCAACTGTCTTCCCAATATCCGCCTTTTCACCCACCTGTTCTCCCATAATCTCTTCGTTTTTGAGAAAACTTTCAAAAATTACAAATAACTTTTGTGCATTGGTTTCTGAATAGCTTAACAAAGCGACCAGCTGAAACAACAAAAAGCTTTGAAACTAGGAATTTATAAAAGATTTTCGATCATCGGCAGTGCTATGTGTGGGTACTGGGTGCACAACACAAACAATGATCGACTCGCAGTCATCAATGAAACGAAAAGAGAAACAAGAAAGAGAAATGAAGAAATCGGGGTGGTGGGAGAGTTTTTGTGATGAGGAATGTGTGGATGCAGGTGTCCATCCATTTCTCGATTCACCCAACACATTTCATTGGGATTTGCTAAGTCCCTCCAGTCCCCACAGATGATCGGGATTGGCAATTAATGTGTGAATCTCGCTAAAACACGAGAAATTCTCAAGATGCGACCAATTGATGAAACACATTGACAAAAAAATGTTTACTGGTTTCGAGGGGAATTCGGTCAAAAACGGCCTCTCTCAACACCCCGCAAAGCGCATCAAATTTCACATTTTTCAAAGTGGTTCTCATTCAGAAAGGCAGAAGAAAGAGTAAATGGGAAAAGACGAAAAAGAGAGGTGTTCAAAGCCTCAACACAAAAGCTCAGATCTTTCTATTTCTTCATTCTATAAAGGGGAAATCGAGAGTGCGGAGAAAATGTATTCCCCACACATAAAACGAGGCCACTTGGGTTTTGCCTTATAAAAAGACTCTCAGAATGTTTCCAATCTCCTTCAAACCACTTTACTAAACAAAAAAAATTGGCGTTTAAAAGTCAACCAATAAGTCAAGCTGTGTTGAAAGTAAAAAAAACGCAATTTGAAACTGGTTAGCGGTTGGCACTTGAATACCATACCCCAAGATCCTCGTTTTAGAAATAAAAGAGAAAGGGAAAGCCTGACGGAATCATCTATCTCATCGGAAGGCAAGATAGGCGGAAAAATAGAGCCACCGCAGATTGGATGTAGGGATGAAAAGAAAGAGAAAGCCACAGGACGCCTTTTTCGTTGAGAACAGATCAAGCCAGATAAGGCCCGGATGGGTGCCTTTTGAAAGAAGATAGAAAAAGGGCAAGGATTCTGGGATGGATTGCTCGGATTCTCGCTCCATAATGAAGTACATTCGATTCAAATGTCTTTTCCATAGGACTGCTGCCTTCAGGGGAGTGGAAAATGAGACTCGGGTGGAGCTCTTTTCCTTTAGTGAAGACTGAGGGGTGTGACACAAAGGAGGGACTGAAGGGGAGCGTTCAGGCGTGAACACCCTAATAACCAATCTCTTCCCCCATTCCTTCTCCCCTTTCAACAGATCAAGATCCAAATTAATGGACAGTTTGAGTACTGGATAAAGCTTTGAAAACGTGCTAATCTTCATGTACAAACATTGAAAATTGGGGTTCACTTTGAATTCGATTACGTGAGAGGATCTCTTCAAAAAAGCAAACAAAAAGAATAAAGTTAACAAGTCTCGCTTTTCGGAAAGGGCAACAAAATTTATTCGCGCATAGCTAATGAGCAACGGGAGAAGCCATCCGAAAGGAGACCCAAGAACCAAGAAAGGGAAAGGGTGAGGCGGTGGATGGGAAGGGGAGGGTGGGAAGGGTGACAAGGACCGGCACTTGGGGTGGAGAAGGGGCCCTTCAAAGGACACACACCTGCACCTTCTCCTTAAAGAAGGAACCCTTCTCAACACCTTGTGCTAAAAATGAATATGTGTTAGTTGAGCCACAAAAAGCTTGCTTTGGTAGCAATGAATGGTTGCAACTCGCTTCATATAACGAGACTTTTCTTTGAAATCTAGCTAGCAGTCATAAAAGTTGTTCACAAAGAAAGTGACTAGTTATCTTTCCTCCTTATCTTACTACAAAACCCGGTCCTCCTAGAAAAGAAAAAAGAACTAGAGACCCATTGTTTCTTACGGTCTTCACTAGAGGGTAATCCCGCCCCACTTCATACAAAAAGGCCTGTCCTTTCTCTTATTTCCTCTAGAACACGATCTCTGAGGACCTTCTTCTACCCATAGATACCGATGGATACAGGACACAAAGAGGTCATACCCCTTTCTCCTTTTTTTCCTTTATTCTCTCACACCGCAACAATGCCATTATGTCAACAAAAATGGTTGGTTGTGAAGTGAAGAAGAAAGAGCAAAGAGCAAAGAGAAATGGTCAGTGTGTTTCCCACCAACTATCGAGTTGTTCAAAGTCTGTGATTAACCCTCCTACCCCA